TTCGCAGTTTGAGGCCGGAAAAAAGTTGCAGGCAGGCAAGGGTTTTGGCATCTTCGTGGTGAAGCGGCACGAAAAAGTTACAAGTAAGCAAAAAAAGTTACAACTAACTAAATCCAGTTCAAAACCCTAAAAGTTACAAGTAAGCAAAAAAAAGAAGTTACAACTAAGCGTTCTTCCCAATACCCCAATGGGTGCACTAAGAGTGCTTGTATGTCATGGATGCCCCATGAATACACTGTGTGCGGACTCCACAAGAGTGGGTTCTCGACAATGAAAACCCCATGCACGTCGCATATGCGAGATAGTAAAATCGCGAGATAGTAAAAAGAGTGAGCGAGTCCTCCCCGGCAAGTTGTGGAAGTGTATTACTGCGAAATACCCAACATAGAATCTGAAGATATTGGATATCTGTGGAAGAATGAGATATGAGTGAAAGCGTTTCATTATGGTTTGGATTTGAACGGAAATTGCTTCATTTTGCAAACAGCAAATAAGGATTCATCAAGAGGTATTCCCCTTCCATTGCCACGATGGGGCTCATTTCCGCTGTCTGTCTCCTTGCTAGGGGGCACCCTGGTCACATCATTGTGGTTCGAAAAAGTGCCAAGTGAGTCCAACCCTGCCGACCTGCCGTCGTGGGGACGCTTTGCTTTGAGGAGGCTGCCCGTAGGTTGCAAGCCCAGGCACATGTCGTCAAGGATTTCCTTCGTGTGCCAAGGTACACTCCATCCCCGGCCAGGGTTTTGACTTCGGGCTGTTGAGGCCCATTTGATTGATGCATCCAGTTGAATGGGAAAAGATGGGGAAGGTAAAAATGCATCACTGTGCATCACGCACTCTATGTGCTGCAAATCCGCGTGACACTCTATGTGCCCTGAGCATGCTCCACCAGACGTGTGTTGGCATGCAGTTGTTCTTTTCCCATTGCATGCGGCATGTCCGTAAAAACAGACTGGAGCGCATCACTTGCGTCAGCGCATTTCTTTTAGACACAGTTCAACTGAAGGAATAGTGAGAGTAGATTTGATTTCCAATTTGATGTAAATTGATATGGACGGCGAGATCTGTCAGAGGCGTTCATAGGGGTCGGCTCGGTAAGTGTAGTTTTCTTTGACCCGATAGGTTTGGCAGGCTCAACTTTTTTTTTGGCAAAGGTGTGGCTCTGTCGTGGTGGGGCTCTGGTTCTATATTACCTCATATAGCTATTCATTTTATGCATGGAGCCGCGTCGTTGCCCAAAGCATCTTCGCGGGACTTGCCTGCAAAAACAGCCTTTTGTGTTCAACCGCCTCGTTTGGGCTTTGGATGTGGCCTGATTCCCGTGCAAGCTTGAGGCGACATGCGTGTTTTTTTTTTTGTCGGGTTTGGCAGGCCTACTCCTGGTCCACCTTGCCCAACATCTGTGTGTCGAGTTTCCTGCCGGATTCAACATGTGTTTTTGAGTTTTCTTGCAGAGCACACACTGATTTTGACAACGGGCTTTCCGCGCAGTGAGTGAGTGGTGTTTTCAATTTGATGGTTTAGTTCCACGGGAGGCGGTGGAGTGTGAAGGGAGTTTAAGAAAGAGGGCTTTCGGTGCAACTGCACTGAGCATGTTGGAGAGCTTTGGTAGCGGTGCGATGCGGTGCAATAATCTATAGTCTGGCTAACGCCGTGTGCCGCAAACACCATGAGCTTGTGAAAGGTCCTTCTCAATGGGCTATTCGTTGGGGGCATGAATTAAGCTTGTTCCACGTACGTAATAAGCAGCGTCGCTGAACACCCTGCACCCGTAGCTTTCTGGCGAAATTTGTGTGGCATGTTTGGTAGTGTTTGTGGTAGGAGCGGAAGCCGGTGACATGAATTCGTGTCCAGTGCCAGGAAAAAGGTTTGTATGCAGCATTTTACACTGCAATGTTGTTGAGCCTCGTGTGGCCGATACGCATTTTGGACACAGCAGAATTTACAGGCAGCATACAATATGTTGCAGGTGCTTTTGTTGCTCGGTAGCAGCTGATGGGTTCAATGGCGAGCTAGGGGAATGTGAGGCACGCCAATGCCCATTTGCGGAAGGCAACCCAACCGTATTGTGTTATTTCAATCCGCTTGAGTTGCTGTCGTGGCACGAGGTCTGTGGGACATGGCGTCGTCATCGTCTGGCAAATATGTCAGCTTTCTGCAAGATATTGTTGTTTCGCTCAGGTTGGTACTTGCTGTTCTTATTTGAACGCTTTTAGTGGAACACGCGCAGGGTCAGCTTGTCAGTGCTGTGCATCAAATTTGTTACGCTTTTCGAGTAGCTGCTGAGTGAGGACACTGTCATCAAGTCCGGGCTGAAGCTCAAAGGCGGTGACAAAAGCAGGCCGTGGGACGATTTCGACTTGAGTACCTCGTGTTTTGTAACACGCAGGGAAGTCGGTGTCAAGGCTGCGAAAAAGACCGAGCCTTATGCATTGCTAATCAAGTTCCACAACGAGACGGTTGTTTCGTTGAACATATATGGAATCTCGAAGCGGAGAAACTCAGGAAGAAGAAGTCTCAGGAGGACATTTTGACTGAGCAGCTTCAGGCTGTCACGGATTTATTTCACGTTCATGTTTGCTGCACGTCCGGCTTTGTCAGCATGAGGCCAGCGCAGAGCAAGAGCTACAGGCTGGCCAGGGCACCATTATGCCATTGCGGTTAGACTTCGACAGGGCAGATGAACATAAAATGCTGATGAATTTCTGTTGCTCTGGGAGCAGGAGCAATCCGAGTTGATGAAAGGAGCCACACAAGGGCCCACCACAACGCAGAAAACATTTCAGCTGGCGAGGCTGAGCCACATATCCGCTTGTCGCACACATTTGTTCTTCATGCCGCGCTTGTTTTGGCATGTTGCATGTGATTGGCTGACCGAGGGAGAAGCGCACAAATCAGCGTGTCAATGAGGCTGCACAGAGGGTGGCGGGGTTACGGGCATTCATGAGATGTTGTGATGCCGCTCGCCATGCGCATTGGTGTTGGGATGTCATTGCACATGCTGTGGGGCCTGTGGGGTTTGCACGACACATGTCTTTCACGGTCATTCATGCTCTGTCACATTGCAGGCGATTCAATACACGTGCCTCAGCTGACATTTGGTAGCAGTTGGCCAATTTTGGCCTTGCCCTTGCCATGGAACCTGAGGCACCGTCAGCGCATGGACAAACTCAATGCGCACTTGGGCAGCCTGTCTGAGCACTTCGACATCCCAAAGGCATTTTCTGGCCTATCCATTGTACTTCCAGATGCTTTCGATGGAGTCCTGCTTCAGGTTGGCCCTGGCTGAGCCTTGTGCAGTGCTCTTTTCTGCTGGAGCCTTCCAGAAACAGCGTGGAGCAGTTTCACGGGGTGGAATCAGAAAAAGGTGGATACAGCTTTGTGTCTATGATGGCGATGTATTCTGCCTGCAACTTAGCACCGGATGATTTCCGAGCAAGCACAGGAACATAACGGTGACATTTCACTTTGCGCAGCATTTTGTAGGATGTGTCGTCTCATGGTGAAATGACCATGCAGGTTGCTGATGGTTTGCTGACGGTTGGCTATAGCTGCTGTACTCTAGCATGTATTCATTTTATTTTCCTTGGCTTTGCTTCGGTCCAGTCGATTAGAATAAGCCTTCAGGAATCCGCAATGCAGAGTCATCACGCTGGCAGAAGTCTGAATATTTCAAGCCACAAGGCTTGCTTCTCAGTTCAAGATCAGTGTTGTTTGTTTGAGAATGGGGCAGCAAACACGCTACGTGTCGGTTCACCTCGGAGCGCTGTCCTCTGTTCATCTGTGCATGGCTACCCTAGCTTTTTTTGCATTGTGTCCGGCATCGCAGAAGCCAGATTATAAATCTTCTTAGACTCGTGAAGTCAATGAAGAGCTCTTTTTAGGTGTTGTTTCAGGCTGAGGAGCCGGCAGCCTCACGCCTCCATTTCTAGGCATGTTTGTTCTTTTGCAACTAGAACGAAGTGAGGAAGATTGCACTACATTCACGTTGAGCACAAACATGTCTGTTGTATGTATAGGATTTTCCTTGCCGTGTTTGTCTGTGCAATGTTCCCACCGGTGCGTGCTACAGAGCCGTGCGCGCCCTGGGCTCAGAGGAATGGTTGGTTCCGGGCCAGTTTTTTCGATTTCATTGGCCATCTGAGGCTGGCTCCTGCCGGGAGAATGGTGTTCACCTTGTGCGGGCAAGTATCAACCTTATTGTCGATTAGCTTCCTTACTGGAGACTGCCAAGGTTGTGCTTCCAGGAGCAGCTGACCAGACTGACGTTGCCATGCCGCACTCTAAGTCTCTAGATGCCAACATGCCAGTACGGTTCATAAATCTGCATGATGACGGTAACATCCTGAAACGTGCAGTGGCCGAAGTTTCCAAGGCCTGTTCCTCTGCAGGCACACGTCAGCAAGGTGCTTCTGTGACGTTGCGAACATGAAATTTTATGAAATTTCTTGATTCTTGCGAGTCATTGAGAGCAGCTTTTTGTACACCTTGGGGCCCTGCCTATCTTTTTGATAGCGACCTCCTCCACCAAAGAGGCCACGTCAGCTGCATGTGACACAAGGTAGTCAGTGACGCCGAGTGGCAGCACCTCCTGCTTGGAAGGATAGCCTTCGAATTGACATGGAAATCAAGTTTCCGAAGAAGGACAGTATCAACAGTTCAAGTCGCTCTACACTGACGCCGTCTTTTCTCGTATGTGTATCTACCAGTTGACATTGCAAGAGCGTACTCCCTTGAATGTGTGTGCCTTCCAGGAGAAGAAAGCCCAGAAGAAGCTGGAGAATAGGCAGCGTGTGTCTGTGTGAAGTTACTCACATCGTTTGTGAGGGGACTCAATTCTCGTCACGGATGAGATATGTGGCAGGGTGGGACTTATTGTGGTACATAGTTGCACAGACAGCCGGTACCTTCCTCGGCCGGGGCCAACTTCAAACGCAGAGAAACCAACAGAACAAGCTGAGGCTGAATTCTTGCTAGGTATGTTGTGCTCTGTGAGATGCATGGGTTCAGCTGACAAGAGACACCAGTATACAACTAGTGTGAAACTTGTGTCGAGCATTAGTCAGGAAAACTCAACACAGTAGAAGTTTCACATTTTCACATCCTTGCTCCTTGTAACAAACAATCAGAAATCAGTTTGCAGTTGCTTTGTCCTTGGGTCAGAGGCATGCCACAGCTTGTCGAGTAATTGCCACAAACCATGAAGCCCTAGAGAGCAGGACATCGCGAACGGCGTCCATATTGAGCAGCGTTTTTTCAGAGCAGAAGTACCCGGAGCCTTGTGCCGAGTTTCACAGTAAAATGCATTAGTTAGTTTCCAACACTGCTGCTTCTAAGGCCTGTCTACTTTCAAAGTGTTGACTGCGTCATCGCGTCATGGTTGATACTTTGCAGATGTTCCTGAGGAATTTGTGGCTCATATGGCTTTTCCCTGATCAGATTGGCCAGGTGGGCATTCCGAACTTCCTGTCGCACAAGGAGTGACGACCTTGGCAGAAGCAACTGCAGTTTGTATTGATAAAGCTGGTATTTGCACTATGCTTCCTCTTCAAGACGCTGAAGTGCGAATATGCTTGAAGAGTTTGATGGAAGCCCTCCGGGATAGAGAGAAAGAGGGACTGTATAGATATACTTGTATATACATATATGTACGTATGCATGTTCGGGTCGGAGCATGAGCTTGCAAGTTTCTTGAAATGGCCGCTTCTAAGCGGAAGGCTTGGTGACCGAAGCTATGGACCTGAAACAACCATTTACTTCCCAGGTGCGCAAAGGTTGTGGAGTTTGCGGAGTCGCAAGGGTTCAGTCTGCAGAACAGACATCGCGCAAATTTCCCAGAAGTTGTAGCTTTCACATGCACAGAGCCTGAAAGATTACAGCAAAGGTCCTAAACATGATGTGGACCGACCTCATCGATCCCTTCTTGGCGGAGGCACTCTGGGAGCCTGGCACCGAAGCTGCTTTTGCCACTTTTTGCCGAAATGCTGAGAAAGAGCCTCTCATCTTTTATCACTGAGGGTTTGCGGCCTCAGCTGGTTCTTGCGCAATTTGAGCATCGATGGCCAGGCCGGTGTCGTAGCACGAAGAGAGCTACACTAGTTGCGAATGCCTTGAGGGTCCAAATGCATTCAGCTTTCCGGTTCGTGAATTCTTTCTTTATCGTTCTTTTGTGTTGTAGTATTTCTCACCTGGCCTCCTTCCAGGTGCCATGCGGTGCGGGGCCAACTTTTCTGCATTCATTTGACCGCTCCAGTGCAGAATGATGATCACTCTACATGGTATGTTATGCTTCTGAGGTCTGAACGATGTAATCAGAATCCAGAAGTATGGCCCTGCGGGGGCCTCAGGTCAGTTTGAGACGTGCAGGTTGAAGCTTGAGGCCTGTTTGATCCTTCGCTGTGTGGCCTTGTGTTGTGGTGTGGGGCTGTGCATGACTTGTCCAGGGTGGCTTGTTCGGCCGCCACACGGACCAGCCGGTAAAGCGAGCAGATGGGAGGCCCCTCAAAGCTCTAAGTTGCATGCTGCTTGCGCGTGAAACTCGAAAAGGATTAGGTGAACGTGACTGAGATGTTCCGCATGTTGTGAAGCACAAAGCTCATGCTTGGCTCAATGCATTCTGCTCTGAGTGGAAGATGGCTCAGGCTACAAGATTGTCTCAGCAAAAAAAATTGAGAAGCACCTTTGCTTGCAGGACTTCAAAATACTCACTGAGAGTGTTTCTGAACAGCAGCGCGAGCAAGGAGTTTGAGGCCGAGCAGGGTGCTACAGACAGTGTAGGCAGAACACATCGGCCTTCTTCTTGAAAAGCTGCAGACTGCCTCGCACACAGCTAAGGTTACTTCTCGGAAGTTTTTCCAATTTTCGCAGCAGACAGTCTTGCCTTGGCAGGGTGGATTGAGTGCATTCCATGTTGCCTTCCGCCCGAAGCCTGTGGTTTTCGAGCCCGAGGAGCGGGCTAGCTTGAGGTGTCCTGAGAGCCATTGTTTTCGCAAACCCTTCTGGAATACAATTTCACTACGCTGCCAAACCAGCGCCCTCTTGGTATCTGCAGTTTGTTGGGTGCGACCTGTGCTTGGCAGGAAGGATTGGCTCTCATCTACCCGCAGGGAGAGCAGCTGGCTTCGCAAAAGTACAATGTAGAGCTCATGCTGATAGAAGAAATCTCCTGCAGAGCTGGGCCAGAATCAGGGGACTGTCTATGATCTTTTAAGAACACGATTGCAATCTCGAGCCATGCCATGTCATGTCATGGCTGTGAGGTCCCCCGAGTTTGATGCCTCAGGTTTTGCCAGGTGCAGGAGGAGATGGAGGTTCACAATGGCAAAAAGTGACCCCCTGTCCTAGTGTCCTGAACCGTTTCCGTGCATGAGCTTCCATGTCACTGTTTGGGCGCAATCGCAGTAAAGACATGCCAGAACTGATGAACTCATGGCGAGTTCCGTTTGCAAGCATGGGTCACTTTGCCACCAGCCTTGTAGCTCCATGAACAAGCAGATAGCGTGATGTTGATGCTGACAGGCTTTCAAGCCACATTTCAATTCAATGTACAAAATAGTCCAGCCACGTTCGGCTCGTGCGTCATGCAATTCTTGTGCCTGTCGATGCGGCGGTTGGAGCACGCTGTTTCATCACCGCTGAGCAATCTTTTGCAAAGGTTGCCCTGACCTGCTCACTGCAGGCTGCTTGCGGATTTGAACTTGAGGGAGTTTCTGTTTAGCAATGTTTGCTTCTTGTGCATGACCTATAACATCTCAATAAACCGACTTCCCCGCCTGGACCCTGCAAGTAAGATGACGAAGGAGGAGGGGCCTTCCCCCGAGATGAAGGATCCCGCTAGACACCGTCAGTTGGTTGGAGCCATTTCAGGTCCTGCAGTGGATGCATGTCAGACACAAGCAGTCTTGTAGATTACGCTAGAAGTGCGGCCATGGTGCCATACCTTTGGCACTTTTGGCGCTCATCATGATGCTTCGTTTGCAATGCTTTTGAAATCACTGAGTCATCAATCGGAGCTGACCCTTTGAAATTCGCAGCAGTACAATTGACGCGGAATCCCCGCATAAGAGAATTAACAACTATCTCTCCAGTGCTGCACATGTCTAGCGGTGCTGATGAGAAAGCGCTCCATGTTTGCAGGTATGTTCTACGAGCGGACATCTTATTCTGCAGGTCATCGCCTTATTTGGGTATTGCGACTTGCCCATGCTTCTAATTAAGGATATACAAGGAGGTTCACCTTGTTTGCTGGCAGTATAGGCTTAGTTGAGGGATGGAGCATGCTGAAGCTAGTCCTAATCAAAACCGATCTTTCCGATGCTGCGCTGCCACCTAGGCCAGAAGATCTGGTCTCACGTCATTTGCCGTTTCACAACCCATCGCCTTCGTGTGGGTGAGGCTTGTGAAGAAGGTCCCCTGCCCATTCAGTGTTTTATGAAGAAGGCTGTAAGCAACACTTCATGAAGTTCTTTACTCCTCCCAACCGAGTAGACGAAGGTGTTTCACATAGAAAGCCCTGAAAGATGAGGGCTTGTCAAACGTGCATGCCAACTCTCAAAGAAAGAGGCTAAATCGCCACGAGTGATGGGGTCTGGGGTCCACTTTGCGCTTTGGCAAGAATGCTCATGAGAGTCTTGTCTTGTCAGTGGCGAAGTCTGCCAACACAGTCAGAGCGTGTGACCCTGCGGGATGATATTCTACTGCAGCTGTCGCAAGATCGAATGCGTGTGATCGATTGATGTTAGATGCAAGGAAAAACCCATAGGCAATCAATCAATCAATCAATCAATCAATCACGAGCAGCATCTAGGAAGGGCAGATTTCATTTTGGACCACTTACAAGACCAGGGAGGACACAGGCTTTTAAGACCTGAGTCTCTTCTAGTTGAAGTTTTCGAAGCAGACATGGAAGTCATCACGGCCACTCCGCTGTCACCGCGATGCTGGAACGCCTTCTGGTGTGCGCGAGGTGCTCTCGCGCAAAGAGGTGCGCAGCTGTGCTGGAGAGGTGTCAGATGGCCGTTGCATGCACAGCTAAGAAGACTTACAAGCTTGCAAGGGTTGGAGTCTCCCACTGGCTCTCTCACTTGCATCTCGACTCGCGCTGCTGTTTGGTGTGCACCTGGTCTGCACCTCTGCAGCCTTCCGCTCTCGTCATGTTAACGGGGAACCTTGGACATCTTATGGAAGTATTTCAGGGATGCCAGGTTTTCATGTCGACTGCAGGTGTCTCACAAATGAGTGGTGCAGGTCGGCCTGGATGCTCTTCGGCAAGCTCGGCAGAGGTGCAGGCCATGCAATTCATGTCAAGTTGATATCTTAACCTGGACAGACTGACCTGAACCAATGCAGGCAGATGCGAAGCTCTGCAACTGGCATGAGCCTCACATACCAGAAGCTTCAGGAGCTCTCAACTACAGTGCTTAGAGTTCTGATCAGCAATCACCCTGCAGCTGCAAAGACACTTAAACCAGCGTGGGACGGGAGCGAAGCAAAGAACCTTCCTCTTCGTGTGTCCCGGAGCAGTCTGTGGAGGGAGTCTTGGGGTGCAAGTGCAATGGACTGGGCACTGTTGGGGTTCGGACATGTCCGGACTCTCAACCGAAGAGCAGCAAATTAAGAGAACAATGAGATGGACCTCCGGATCGTCGCACGGCTCAGGCATAAGGGTGTGGACGCCGCTGCAAATTATGCCGCAAATCATGTGACTTTCTGGATAGGGCTAGCTAGCACTACTCCTGCGGTAACAATGCGCCATGATGAAGAACCTGCGCCCAAAGCATCGCTATGCACTTGGTATCGAAGGGGACTTCATCCCGTCAGGTGCTGTGTGGAAGCAGAAGCAGCTGGCGGGGTGCCAACTTTGAGAAGCTGGAAAACTGCACTGTTGTTGTTGAAGGCCATGGAGCTATCAGGGCTACCAGACCACCCGTCCAAGAACTCAAAGCTGGAACAGCAACTTGGTTGTTGTTGTAAAGTCTTAGTTTCAAATGGGTTCATTCAGAGATTGCCTACCCCAAGGTATGCCACTGACGGCGACATTGCTGCTCGATGGCTGCTGGGCATCAATCAACAGGCTCTTCTCTCCGCTCAAACTCCAGTCGTTCTGCTTGGACTTTGCGGAGAAGCTGGCAGGATCCCTTCAGAGACACAGAGAAGGTTCTTGCCCTATCTATTAGTCCGGCTCGCTGCTTTTCAGCTCACTCTGGGGCGCAACTTGAAAAGAGTAGCTACACATTGCTGGATCCGTCCGCTGAATGCCGCATTTCTATGCAACCCCACTGAGATCAGGTGGTGGACCTGGGTGCTGGCAACGGCATATTAGGCATTGGTGCATTGCTTCTGGGTGCGCCGCGTGCCGTCTTTGTGGAGGCCGAGAGCTCTTGCACCAAATCTGCCAGATGCACGCGACAGCAAAAGCAGCAGCAATTCTATTATGAATTGATTTATGTGGCCCCAACTGGTGCCAGGTAGATGGCGCAGCTGCTGACACGCTGGAGGACGCCTTGGAGGTAGGATCGTGCCAAGTCAGTTTTCTTGATGGCACAAGTCGCAACATGTCGCAACACTATGGAGTTCTTGCATGCAGAGTAAAGAGAAGATTCTGGAACAAGGCAGGGCGGGTTGCATCCCGTCTTCCTACTCATCCGGCACTCATAATTGAATGAGGCTGCCGGTTCGAACGAACCGGCTGACATCAGATTTTCCAACTACGGCTATAGAACAATATCTGCGTTGGAACGAGATTGTCTTTCTCTTGGTGCTGCTTGGTATCACATCTTCCGAAGGTTCCTACCGGATCCTAGGATCGTGTAGTCCGATCTGCTCTGACTTTTGGCCCTTTGTGATGATCCAGTTGCCACCGATTCCACCGCAAATATCACTATTATCACTGAGATCCGGACTTCACTGTTTGGGATTGCTAGCGTCTCTCTGCCTGATGCTTCCTGGGGTCATTGCAGCCCTATGGAGTCCCAAGATCATGGAAGGAACTGCACAGACCGGGCATAGTTTCCTCTACACATTTTCCACTACGAGTTTGCCATGGCAGGTTAATGGCAGAGAGATACGGCTTTGCACCCACGGAGCTGCTTCCACAGCATCGTTGTCATGCTTTTTTGTGCCTTCCTCAACTTCGCGGCTTTTCCGTTTTAAGACTGCAGCTACAAGTGGTTACGAACTCCCGTGTGCGACGACCAACTCCCGTGTGTGTGAGGACGGAGATTCTACAAGTTCTGTGAAATGCTGACCAGTATTTCGTATGTCGGAAGCCAATCCTATGCAGGCCACTGCCCAGCAAGCTTCGGTCTGGCTAGGCCATTTCCTTTCCGGCCCTAGTCTAATCCTCAGCAACCACTGAGAAGGGGTCAAGACAGTCCGTGCTACGTACAGATCTACTCTATCCCATGTGTTTCGATTTCTATTTGCCAGTCAGTGCAAAGTCCTGGTTGGCTGACACTATGTTTCATCTGTCGTTGTCTATGGTTATGTTAGCGGGCTGCCGACAAGCGGTCTCACGTGGATGTGCTTGGCATTCACATGCCTTTTTTGACCCATCTCTTGCGGGCACACAGGAGAGAACGCCGAAGCGTTGTCACGAACATATCTCCAGTTGGTTTCCGCCCTAGAGGGCTCTAGCAAACCAAAAGCTGAGCTTACCGCGCACAAGCAGGTAACCTGGCCAAAACGGTGAGAAGAAAAGCTGGAGCGTCCTCCTTTGGTCTAACTTTATTTTAGTTCAAAGCAAAACAAGTCAAAACAAGGCATAGAATGGCTGAAGAACGAATCTCCGTTAGCTGTTAGAGTGCATGCCGCTCTGCTTTGCCCAGATACTGCAACCAAGTTGCAGCAAACAACGAGAAAACTTCCCTAGTGCGTGTGGCCGCCGACACTGGAATCCTCGCACCACCCAGTTTCAGAAGATGCCACGAAGTCAATTGGAAGCTTGACCCCTCTTTGGGGCCGGGTGGATTGAAATCGCCTCTTCCCGTATCAGGTCCGAAATGAGCATTCCATCCACTCGATCGGTATGTGCGGCAAGACACGTGCTTGCGCCTTGTGCTGCATTTTTTTCCCCAAGATGCGCGAGGCAGCAATCCCGGATTCTTTTCAGAAGCTTGAAGCACTGCAGACCAGACTGCACTCAGGCTCCCACAGTTTAGGGTGCTGCAGGTTAATTCACATCTCTGGATGACGTGGGCTTCAAAACCAGGCAATGCATGTTGGAATAACTCCTGAGTCTTCGTGCCGAGCAACGCGTGCTTGAAAATGATGATTTTTCGTGACACCATGCTTTCAAAGACCCCCGTAGCCAAGCCATCACCCACAGGCACGTCAGTGCATTGTCCTGCCATCACACCCTTGGTCTTACATGTCAAAGCTATACAGCCAATCACGCTCACTGCCGCATGTAGTGTCCTCACAAGTCGGGCATGCTGCCGTCACAGTCCCATGTGCGTGTTCGTTGCAGAGTGCAGATCTCTCCTTTGCTTCTGCTGTCTCGATGGCTCGAAACCCGGTCTCTCACGGATAGTCCTCGCATTGCAGTGCTCTTCGGGCTCCAGCTTGGGGTCCACACCAACATTTTTTTTGGAAACATGTAAGGCCAAGACTACATTTGTGAGGTGTCCAAGCAGTTTAGAAGTCCAGCTATCTTTTGGAACTCATGTTTGACTGAAGTCTGGAAGCTGCACCCAACAGCTTGTACTTTCGCCTCCCACAACCTTTTCCACGCGAACAGGCGCACGCCCTGTCAGCACGCTCTGTTGTGCTGCGCCGTGATGTGGCCGAGGTGCGCAATGCTGGGCCCAGCATCTTGTGTGAGTTTGCTTTATGACAACGCTGGCCTGCAGGTGGCAGATGATCCGGGTTGTGCTTGCGACATCGTAATAATGAATCCGCCATGGGGACAGCAGCGAAGATCCGCAGACAGACCGTTTCTGCAGGCTCAGAACTTGCTATCATGCTCCATTAGAGATTCCTGTCAGAGTATGACTGGAGGCTTCTATAGCACTGGCAAGGACGTCTGTTCATTTGATGCACAGCTGGTACCTCAGATGGTCACTTGTTTTGAAGCATCATCGCTCAAAAGCTGTATTGATGAAGCCATGTGTGAGGTGCAGGTGCGGTCCATGTTGAACCATGGGCGCGGGATCATGGATGGCATGCGGACAGATGGTCTTTGTCTTGGTTAAGCTTTCTGCTCGTAGCAGGCTTGGCATACTGACATGCAAGTACTTTATGTTATGGTCAGCCAAGCAGCTCGACCAGCATTCCATTGTGATTTGTTAGCTCTCTGAGGTTGGAGGTGGATTTTCCTCTGCCACGAAAGTATGCACATCAAAGCCGACGCAGAGGCTCTGAGTATTTTTAGCTTCGTTTTCTGGTGATTAGGGTTGGCTTGAGGTGATATACACAGAAAGGTGGGCTGTTGCATGTCACTCCTCTGCTAGAGCAAGGCTTCACATCGGCTGCCATGTGGCGAATCTCCAAGCAGCCAGTGAACAGCGAAGGTCCTGTTCGCAAAGTCCGATCAGACCACTCAGACTTGTTCTGACGTCATTTGGCTGCGGATTGCTTAGAATAGAACCCAGCGCATCCTTGCAGTCCTGACCTCGGGAGCATCTCAAGATACTTGTCATGCCGTTTCGCAGCATAATCCAGAAGATGAACTCATGAAATCTGTGTGGTGCAGCTCTTTGGTCCAAGCCTTTGTGTAGTGCTTGTCTTGGTCAGCGATGACTGAGCCAGGCTCATGGCAGTGCACCTTCACATGCCCAAAAAAGAGGGTTGCAGAGTAACCCAGACAGGAGATTACGGTCTATAGTCGATTTTGTAGGTTGGGAGGTTAAGCTGTTTCTTGAACAGGGATGCAGTTGCTTTTGGTGACTGTTGGCGAAGTGTATCGGGTGTCCTGGATGATGTCTGCAAGAATCCCGGCAGACAGCCGCATGGTGGAGTGCTTGTACAAAATTGTTTCCCCTGGATTTTTTCAAAACATGGCTACATTTTTTGCATGACACTTCTGCGTTCCAGAGCCGCTGAATCAACACAAAAGCATCACCGAATGGATTATCCCTGTGACCCAAGTGGAGCCTGAATACTGGTCCTTGACCTTTTCCCGAGATGTTTGAAGAGGTACTGTAGCAGGACACAGGTCCGGTTCTATAGAACAGAACTCATGATCCCAAATCTCAGACTCTCGGATTTCAGACTACACCTCAAACCATCTTAAAGCTAAGTCTTTATTTTTGGCTTGTTTGAAATATCCACAAAATCAACTTGCTATCGAAGTAGTCTTCCATCCTTGATTTGGACATATAGGCATGGCTTCGCTGACTTATTCACAAAATCAGCTCTGCTTTCAAAGTAGTCTTCGATCCCTCAATTGGACACGTGGGCTTGACAGGTGGACATGCCATCCGGCAAGTGCCGTTGAATGAGCGCCACTCCTTCTGCACGGTCATTCGCTCAAGACGGTTCTGGGCCATGTTGCGGTGGCAAGGTGTGGGAGTGCGTTTGTAGTCAGGTGCCGTAGCAATCTGAGATGGGTTGTTGGTGGCGTCCAGTTCTTGCGCATGCTTACAAGAAAAGGTTCCTAAGATGCAGTAGCGCAGTTCTGAACTTGTTTCGGCACGTGCGGTGACTGACCAAGCGAGGGTATCGGACTGCGCCCAAGATTATTGATAAAACGCAAATGCAAAATGATGCTACGTAAACCGTGATGATTTTGTGGTTTGAGAACCATGTCAAGCATGCTTTGGCAAGCAAATGACAGCGACTGTGTGGCTATGCTTACGGGATCACCATGTATGTGGTGGATTGCAAGTACGGAACTTAATGCAGTCTAATGAAAGTACGCGGGCTGACACTGTTTGTCATTTTTTCATGAGCGTGCTGGTCAAGTTCCAGTGAGCTATTAGCAGCTGCGGCAGGCTTTCTCGTCCTACCGACAGTTTTGAGATTCACAGACGAAAGGTGCATGGTGAAGCATCTTCACTTTCTCGCTTCACTTGCAATGTTTGTCACCGCAAAAAATGGTGACATTTGTTCGGGTTAAAGACTTGACAGGTGCTTGCTGGGAACTGATTTGTGATTCAGCCTTTGCCGCCGAAAGTATTGTTATAGTCTTTTCCACAATGCTTTGGGGTGCCCTGTGTAAACAGTGGCAACTCAGTAGATTGTCCGTGCGTGTGACCATCACGTGGGGTTTAAATTGTACATGCTGCAAGCACACCGGCCCGGTTTCGTGAGGCAAATCGAATTTCTATCAGCTCTAGCCGCCGACATGTTACGGCTGTCACAGCATTAAGCGCTGGGTGTGCAATTCTCAACACTAGGGCCTCTCTGCAATTACAAGGAGCTCAACAAAAAAGAACCCATGTTTTGAGATTCCCAGGTCCGCGTGGACCTGGCCTCAAAGGCCATCTGCTAAGGTCAGGCCCCTTCCGTTCTTGTGCAGGGGTACCTTGCTCGACCAGAAGGGTTTTGCCATGTTTTGTGGCAGCATGGGTCCATCAGGTCGAGGGTGCCCTAGTTGGGGAGCAGCAAAGTGCTTCAGAATTACAGGCACCTTCGCAGCCCTCCCTACAGAGAACACAGCCGAAGTGTGATGCCCGGGAGAGACGCTGTGGGACCCCTAACACGCCAAATTGCTTTGAGCAATGATGAGTTTCATCTCAAGACTGCTCGAAATGATGCACTGCATTACCTGTTCTCGGCACCTACTTACCGTGCTGCAGTGAAATGTGCAGGATTTGTTCAGCACACTGTAGGGATGGTTACGGTGTTTTTTTTCTTTTCGAAGCGGAGTCTAAAACAGAGGTTAGGAAGGGCACTGCAATGCTGTTTCTTTCATGCCAGAACAACTTGGTAGTTTGGCGGCGCGCATAGCACTGCTGCTCATATTCCCTGACACCACCAGCCCGAATCTCCAGCGCAGTAAGTTCGACAACGAGTTCGCTGCCTTTCGGGTTGCCTTGGCTCTAGCCGCCCTGATGGGGCGAGGGCTCTGGGCGGCTTCTGAGGGGAAAGCCTCTGTCCGGGGCCCCAGTGCCGGGATGCTAGTGTACTTAGTGTGTTTGTTTACTGCATTCCTGGGATTTTAATCTCTGGGTTGCTCGGGTCATTATAGAAAAAGAGACTAGAAGAGAAGGCAGCCGGAAAGTGCATCTGCACGAAATCCGATTTGATATCATGCCCTGGCTCCAGGAAGATTGGCTGGACATGTGGGGGCTATCACCCTTGGGCTGCTTCGGGAGGACATTCTGATACGCGGATGTGGAAAGCTCTTTTACCCCAGGTCTTCCTTGGAAAGCATGTGACGTGGACGTCAAGAACGACATGGCTTCGCCTCGCTGTGCTCGCTCGAAGCCAAGCCGACTTTTGTGCGTCTCGGGATGCCCGCAGCGGATCTGTGTTTGGCATCAGACTGGAAAGTCATTGGAATAGTGGGAATAAGCAGTGTTCAACAGACCCTGGGTCCATGCAAAAAACTCTAGAGAACCTTTCAGGCTCTTGGTGCTGGCTTAGGTATGTTGAAATTTTCTGTGAGTTTCTTATCGGTGGTAGATGGATCATGGGCCACTCAGCAAGTAGAGTGACCATCAGTAGCATGTGCCCCCAACTGGTCCTGCAATCGCAGCGCTCCAAGCCATAGCCGAAACCCTTGCCCTTGTCCCTGAATTCTAGGTCCACTGGCTTCTCCCACTTGCATGGGGCCAGGTTGGATGGTTCTAGCTGTTAGAGAAAATTACTGGCCTGTATTGAAGCCAAGGAGTTCAGTCTTCTGCTTCTTGGTTTGGGATGATTTTTTAAGATTAGGCGTTGGTGTTTCTCATGGCTAAGGTTAAAGGTTTTTGAGCAGCAAGTTATTAAGTGTGGCGCTTGAACAATTCGAGATGGGTTAGAACAATCTGGGTCATTGGTGTTCTTGGGATGGAAATACTTTGCGGACACTCCCAGAAGCTGCATAGGTGCGGTTTGCCGAATCTTTTTTTCTTGAGACACACCGGCGTAGGCCGTCAGGCTTGAAGTCCCAGTGCTTTCAGGGTTGCACCTGGAAACCGAGAGGTGGGCTAAGAAGGCTGACTACATAGGAAGGTCAATTATGGGACCATAGAAGAGGGACAGAGACAGGCCCCTCCCTCCTCCATGAGCCCGCTCCTCAACTGAGTATTCTACGAGAAGCCTTGCCCCGCTGCTTCATGTGAAGTCTTGATGCAGCACGAGTGAAAGGCAGCAAACTTTCCGTACACCACGCTTGTACAGACCGCACAAAACACCCATAGTTTTGTTGTGGTTGCTACATGAGTTTGCCTTCTGGTTCTCATTTATTTCATGAAGCGCCTTCATCCCCCCTCCCTGCTTCCCGCAGATTCTTCCACAGAGGGTAAGTTCATAGCCTTCGTCCCAAACAGATGGCTACGCACAGTCCTCGGTAGTTTGGCCTTTGAAAGGAATTCCTTAAATTGTCTCAGATTGGCGATTTGACTTCGATCTGACGGACAAAGGCCCTTAGGCTTTCTGACTATCTTTCTGTCCGCATTTCAGCAGAAATGCAATTCTACCCCAAGCTCCTAACTTCAGTGCCTCTACGCCCCAGGACTCCAATGCCTAGGATCCCCAACCATTAAAGCCTGAAGCCTAATGAAATTCTAGTTGCTCATCACTGAGTGGAAAGTTCCAGTGGGAACAGGCATGATTTTTGGAAGTGCTGAAGTCAAGGCAAACCTGAATCCACTACCCCTAGGCTTTTTTGTGCGCTTTGAAAGCCTTCAGCAGTTCAAAGAGAATCTGCGCAGCCACTAACATTCGTAGACTCAGCCTTCTTGATTTCCTGGCAGGTCCCGACGGTGAGTGTCTCTTCTCTAGCTTTCGCAGACCAGGTCCGCCTTTGCAGACGATCGGGAGAAGGGGGGAAGGCTTTGCGCGATAAGGGTTTAGGTTTTTCAGGTTATAAGGTTCGTGTTTTTGGGTTTAGGGGTTTTTGGGGCGGTTGACGTGTAGAGTGTTGGTGACTCAATATGAAGTCGAATTCTTCGTCGGAAGCATGAAGACAGGAAAGTGATCCCGTCGCAATCAGTTCGATTATTTTGCTTGTTGGCACTAGGGACAGTCCCATAAGCGCAATTTGTTGAGCCATCATTTTGCAATTCTTACAACCCCACAGAGGGTGCGGAATATTTATTTGCATGGATGCTCATGAGATCGTGGCCTGGGGCACATGACTAAAGAGAAAGGATGAGCAGTGAATGGCCGGCAAGGTTCCTTGAGCTCAGTTGGACCTCTCTCCGCATTTCTATGCTAGACCTCTTGGAGATCCAAGAGAGCAGTTTTTTCTAGTAGTCAGATGAAATTGTTGAAAAAGCCTTCGGCGGCTGTGGAGATCTCCGAAGAAGCTCTATGCTCTCGGGGAGGCACGCCTGTCCATCTACACCTCCGGGGCTTGCAAGCGTAAGAAATTCTGATTTCAGTTTCGGCGCTGTCAAGTCTGAAGCCCATCCCTTAGCTCGTAGATCAGGGCACCAACCCAAGCCTAGCCGACACCTGTCCTTC